TCATCATCATCATCATCATCATCATCATCATCATCATCATCATCATCTTTTCTTTCCATACGCTCATCGAGTGATGAAGGCGTGGATCCTTTGATCCGTCTGGGCCTCGAAAGGCCTGCCAGCAGCAGCTTAGCTACTGAAGGTTCTGTCCAGCAGGCGAGCAAGATGCTCTCGTGCACGTACCGGCTGGCTTGACCTCAAGGCCAGGTGCAAAATGCCAAATTGGCGAAGGCATGGACACGGGTGGTCCTCAGTGAGGTCGGTGCCAAAGAAGGGCTGACATGCGCACCATCTCGTCGGGTGGGCTTTCGTGATGAAGTCAACCGCGCACTTTTCAGCCAATGGGAGGGATGCTTCCCATAGCGCCCGGTGGGCCACCTCCATGTGGGAGTTGAGGTCACGAGGCCAGCTCCTGCACATAATGCATTTCTTGACGAGCTGGTGGCAGAGCTCAGGGTGATCCACAAAAATGCCAGCATCCAAACTGTCCAAGGCCTGAAGCCATTTGTGGTGCCAGTCATCATTGATGGTGGGATCATGGATGATGTGGTTGACCTTCTCTTCATCTGACAGAATGGGGGATTCCTCAGCCAACTGGGAGACTGGCTCGGCCCCCCCATGTGGCATGCAGTGTAGCCACAGGAGACAGCAGTTCTCTTGCACCTGTCAAACTTCTCTGGCGGATTGCCGTCGTCTACAGTGCAGTAGTGACCACAGGATGGCTCGGAGCCTAAGTGATATGAGACTGCAGTGACCTCAAAAGGAATGTGGTCAATGCCCAGCTTGGTGTCCAGGAAAAAGGGGATCCACACCTTAGAATCCCACAAGAGTCGAGTCCGGCTTTTCCTCCCCTCGAGTCGAAGCGATCAATATGAAGACATGTAACGTCTGCCGGTTCTGTAAGGCCGTGTAGACCGAAAGATGCCACGCGCCCATTGGAAAGAAGCCCTTGCAAATCAGTAGGCAGCATGGCATTCTTTTGCTCACTGCAGATGTAGAGGTGTGCGGGGCACCCCAAGGCACTCTGATCCACCACACGGATCTCCCCATCCTGCTCAAGCCGGGATTCCCAACAACACCGGAGGAAATTGGGATTCAGCTGTTGGAGAAGGCAGTGAGCAAAATCAATGACATCATGTTGTCGGAAGGGTTCCGGCCAGGTGGACAAAAAGGTGGTCCATTGCCCATCAGCCCCCAAAAGAAGTGGCTCGCCCTGAGTTGTCAGCCTCCCGTGCGCGCCAAACCACCAGTGACCACTGAGTTCGTAGCAGGCTGCTGCTGGGTTCAACAGAGGTCTCAAAGGAGGTATGATGACCTTGGTCAGAGTTCCCCCAATATCTTGCCCAGGTGTTGGGCCAGAGGTGACCTTTGCATTGAGTTGATGCCATATAGTCCCTTCATCTCGGACGAGTGCGGATTTGTCAGGGCCAAGGTGATCCTCCACTTGTCGGTGTCCGTGGTCATGACCTTCTGAATCTGCTGGGATGGCCGTAGAGCTCCAAACCTTTTGATCAGTTCCTCCTGTTGAAGGAGAGTGAGCATACGTGTCAGAGTCTGTGTTGCCTGGCTTGTGGTCCATGACCTGCTTTTGATGATCCCACTTCATCTTGGGGAAGACGAAGGTGTTCTCCTGGTCCGGATCCATCTTCAGGAATCCCAGGCGTAGCAACGTTTGGATCAAGGGATCGGAGGAGGCCGTGGATTGAAGCTTCTGGGTCCTCTTCAGCAGTTCTGGATTTCAAGACCAGTATTCTCAATGGATGTGTCCTCTCGTTTTGAGGTGTCTGATGCCAGTTGGTTGTCTGGGTCATCATTGCTGGCAGGATTGACCCGGGTCCCGCGCTCAAAAAAACATAGAAGCCCGTCTCCGTGGCCAGGCGCTGTAGAGTGTCTTCGTGCCTTAGCACCAACCTGCTCAGGGCCTGCAGCAGGTTGTTTGTGTCTGGTGTGGACTCGCCATTGACATGTTCTGGTTCTTCCTTTGCCTTTTCTTCCTTTTCCTTTGCCCTCACTCTTCCCTCCACTCAACGGACCGGGGCCTCTTGGCACTTCTTCTCCTCGTCGACCTCCATTTTGACCCAATGGTTCAGAGCTCCCCACATCTCGGAGACCTGGCACAGTTCCGTGTCCATGGTGAAGAATGGCAAGCTGAGCTGGCATTTGCAAACTGAGCATGTGTGCTGCTTCACTTGGCGCAAGGAGAGGTAATTGTAATAAAGACTCCCTCTATTGCCATGTTGGTTCCACAGGTGTTGAAGCATGTCACGTGGATCATTCTGCCTCCCACACAAGCAACACCATGTACTGAGGGGCAGTGCAGAGTCCTTCGTCAGCAAGAAGCTCATCAAAATATCCAGTGGTAAGCAGGCTATCCAGGTCAGGAAAGGACAAAGATACCGTTGGACTCAGGACTTGAAGATCAAGACGAAGTGCGTGAGCTAGAATGAGTTCGTCACTGCCCTCCTTCAGTTTGCGCAAATCATGGTGAACAAAGAGTGCCAGCTGTGTGAAGACCGTGCAAACATGAGCAGTGGTAGGCGGTCGAAGGCAGGAGCATCCCAAGTTCCTCAGCGCACTATCCGTTTGAAGCCATTCCGCACAGGTGGTGGCTTGTTGCCAGTTGCAATTGTGCTGATTGCCCAAGTGTTTCAGGAGCGAGGCCGAGCTTCCGGATTGATGGCCACAGAGACCACAGATGTAGCCAAGTCGCAGGACCAGTGACTTGTAGGCCAGCAAATGGTCGAATGTCGATGATGCCAAAGAAGAGGCGGGTCGTCCGGCGTGGGTTCAGGGCAGTGACCTCCATCAATGTGGCGCCTAAGTGCAGCCAAGCTGAGAAAATGAGAGTCACAATGTGCACATTGAAGTTTGCCAGGTTTTTGATTCCCGAAAGCATTGCGAAGGGTTCTTCCGGAAAATCCTTTGAACACTGACACTTCGACACTTACACTTACACACTGACACTTCCACCACATTCGCACCACATACACCGACACTTCGACACTGACACTTACACATACACACTGACACTCGGCAAGCACGCAGTGTAAGTAAGCAAGTGATGGGTACGCAAGCGTGCAATGAGTAGGTACGCCAGCGTGCAATGAGTAGGCAAGTATGAGTATGGAAAATTAGCACGGGAGATGTCCTAATGAAAAAAAATTTCCCCACTTTATAAATTCTCTCTTAAAGGCGGAGGGCGGGACGAACAGCGTCAACCGAAAGTGCAACCCTCTGCGGAGATCGTGCGTGTCGAGTGCGCGAAATGCAGGCGAGAGCGCGATTCGTCCGGTCCGCGCGCAACCCGCTGCGGAGATCGTGCGCGTCGAGCGCGCGAAATGCAGGCGAGAGGGCGATTTGCCGGCTGCCCTCGCAACCCTCTGCGTAGACCCATTCAGGACTTTGAAGTTCCCAGTGCTTCTGAAGTAAGGCCTGTTGTGGTTTGCTAAGTCCTTGTTCCCTCCACTTGTAGGGGATGTTGAACAGGAGAGGAATGTGATCCTTGATGTGGCCAAATCGAGCCGGAAGGTGATCCAGGTAGAGGGGCTTTTTTGTGATTAGTCACTGGACTTGTGGCGAACCATCACAAAGTCAATCCGAGATTGATGTCCATTCCCCCCTTGATAGGTGGGGCCTAGCTGTTTGTCCCAAGTGTTAATAGCAAGAAGTCCTCGTCGTTGAAGAAGATCAACCAAAGTGGTGGCATCGGGATGTTGAGTTCCGATGCTTCTGCCATGGGTCCCTTGGAAGTCCTGAAGCCCAACACAGTGGGGTGTCCGAGTGAGGCTGGTGTTGAAGTCACCTGCCAGGATGACCACGTTCCTCTGAGGAAGGCCTGCTAGAAGCCCATCGCAGTTGGACAGAAGTTCTGCCCGCCGTTCAATGCATTGAGGATCCGCGCCCGTCCATGAGAACTGGTAGATGTTGATCAGGTCAATGCTGGAGGTGTCCAGGTACAGCCGTTGTATACCTCCCTCCAGGAGATCCTGGGCAGAAGCTCCGCCGAGACCACCCGCCCGTCCTTGTGATCCACCATGAATGTAGGCAAAGCCCCACCTCGTGTCCTGGAGGAACAGAACATCATGCCTTT